TCCAAATACATCCTTTTTTTTCCCTTTTTTTAAAAAAAACCCCACCCTGAATATTTTTAATGTAATATAATAAATGTATATATATATTTATATACACATACAATTTTGGGATCTGGGGAATGTGGACATTAAAAAAATATATTTAAAAAAAGGAGGGAAAAAAAATTTGATTAAAAAAAATTGATATTATTTTTTTTTTCCCTAATTATCCTTTTCCTGAATTGAAAAAAAAAGTTTGAAAAATTTTTGATCAGTCGAAATTTAAAATCGATGGTGAGGTTTTTGGTAGATTGAATGAAATTAAAAATTTTTCTAAATTCAACCAACCTAAATTTATGAGTCATTATATTAAACAATTAAACTTTTAATTTAAACCCCAGATTTTTTGTAAAGGGTTTTTTTTGACTTTGAAAAGCCTTTTACTTTGGATTCTTTTACTTTTGGGAATTTTTTAAATTGGAAAACTGGGTTGGAAAGCTTTGAAATTCGGAACACTTTGATTTTTTAAACACTTTGGAAAATTTGGGGTATTTTTTCTTTTGGGAAAGCTTTTGACTTTGGGAAAGCTTTACTTTTAACGCTTTTACTTGTAACGCTTTTACTTTTGAAAGCTTTGAAATTGGAACACTTTGAAATTTTTAAAGGGCTATTTAAAAATTTTTTTGGTATATTTTATATCAAAAAAACAAAAAAGGAAAACAAAGCTATTAAACAAAAACAGATTGTTCTGGAATATTACCCCCCAAATTTTTTGGGGGGCAAAAAAAGCTAATTTTTTTTTGGCTCCAAACAGGGTTTTGGGAAAGGGTTAAAAATTTAAGGTTTATTGAAGCATTCCCCTTTTTTGTAAAATTTTACATGAGTATAAGGAAATTATTAAAAACTTGTTCTGCCTTTTATGTGTGGTATCCCCTAAGGTATATGCACTAAAAACATTCTTTTTTGTAACCCAAAGAAACCCCGATTCATTTTTTTTTTAGGGGCCTATACTGCCTAGGGACGGGCTAAAGTTCTCACCCCCTATATTAATAAATTGTGGAATGGATTTTTTGGGGCCTGATTTTTTTTAAATGTGTACGTTTGTCCCCCAGTTTAAGGTACAATAGACAGGGTTTCAGGGAAATTTTTAAAAAATTTTGAGTTTTATTTTGGTTTCCTTAAATTTTAAATCCTTTCAAGCTTACCCTTTTCCACTGTGCTCAGGGGGAAGTCAATTGTTCCCGCCCTTTTTTTGTAACACCCCATCCTTGTTGTTGAATTTCCTGGCCCCTTTTCTGTTTAAAAGGTCCTTTTTGTCCCCTTGTTCTGTTTTAAAGGGCCTTGTGTCCCCCCTTTTCTGGTTTAATGGGCCTTTGGTCCCCTTGTCTGGTTTTAATGGCCCCCGCCCGTAAAAGAAACCCTGGATATTTTTTATTTTAAAAATAAGCAATAATTGGGAAAATTTAATCTGGGCACTTTGAACAAGACTGCCAAAAAGAGTTAAAACATTAAAATTTTCTTTTTTATAATGCCCCGGGCCCGATTTGAGAAAAATTTTAAATTTATAAATTTTGGGGCTTTTAAAATTTGTTATTATTTTAACTTTAAAATTTTCCCGATTGCTGAGTATATTTTGACAAAATTTTTAAGTTTTAGTTTTAAGTTATAAAATGAATGGTCATATCACAGAAGTTAATTATCATCAATTTTTATTGCTCAGTTTGACATACAAAACAAAAAAGAAAAAGAAATATTTATCATATTTAAACAAATCCAACAATTAAAAATTAGGTGATCAACCCTTTATTTTAGTTTTAAACACAGCAGTTTTTTATTATCAAAGATTGGGAAATACAAATAAACCATTTAAAAAAAATTTATCTTAAAAAAGGGCTAAAACTGAGGTTTTGTTTTTTTTTAACCCTAAAAGGGGAACCCAAAAATAGTTAAAAGATTTTTCCTGTAATCAAATCTTTAAAAACTGTAAAACCAAAAAAGTGTGCCCAAATTTTAAATCTTTTTTCACACCATTCCCCCCCTGAGATAACCCCAAATTTTTTGGGAAAATTTTTAAACCAAAAAGAAAACATTGCCCCCCACTTTTAACTTTTATACTAAAAAACCCGCTCAAAAAAAAGCATAAATTTATCCTAAGTTTCATTTACATGTTTATCTATTCCTTCCAATTATTGATTAATTTAAAAAAATTTTTAAAATTTTTAATTAAAATTTTGGTTTAAAACCTCCCGTGGAAATTCCTTTTTTGTCCCTCAAAAATATTTAACCAAAAATCAAAATATTTTACCCTGGCCCCCTTTTTCCATAGGAAGAACAATGTATTTTTTCCTTTTCCCCTTTAATTCTAAAAAGAAAATTTGGGGTTTTTAAAATTATTTTTGGCTTTCAAAAACGAAAGGTATTTTTTTTAGTACATTTTTTATTGTATTGTTTTTTAATACTTTTAAAAATATTTTTTAAATTTGGCCCAAAAAATTTTTAAAAACCGGTTAACCCTTTAAACGAAAATATGCACGCAATTGCGGGCCAGAGTTGACCCAGGATCTGTTTTATCCGGGGATTATGATAAAAAAAAATATACAATTTTAAGTAAAAGAAAAATGTTTAAAAAAGGTTTATGCCATTATAAAAAGGCTTTTTATTACATGTAATTAAAGCCGTGGGATTATTATATATTGCAATTATATATTTTGTTTAAAGAAAAAAATGATATTGTGTATTTATTATGCTTTTAAGCCAGATCCTTCTGTAAGAATTTGTGTATTGGATAAGCCCTGTTTTAAATTTAAAACAGACAATTTAAAGTCTGTTAACCTGCTGGATTTCTTAAATGGACTTGTCCAGTTTCCATTTTTGGGAGCTGTCCATTATTAAATTTAGGGATATCAAGATGAAAAGTTGATCATTAGAAAGTTCAGATTGCATGTATGTTCAGGCTGGCCTGGCTCTATACTGGTTGCATGACTTTGTCACTTTTGGATCTACTTTGTTACAGGGGTAAAAGATTTCAGTATTAAAATAAGAATAAGCTACCAACAGTGAAATGTCAAGAAAATTCAGGCTGGCCCTGGCTCGATCTATTACTTTAGCAAAGAGTAGGACAAAGATAATTCTCTACGTTTCAGCAGTTTAAGAGTAGACAAAGATTAATTCTCTTTACGTTTCAGCAGTTTAAGGGTAGGACAAAGATAATTCTCTACGTTTCAGCAGTTTAAGAGTAGGACAAAGATTATTCTCTTAACATTTCAGCAGTTTAAAGAATAGGACAAAGATAATTCTCTTTACGTTTCAGCAGTTTTAGAGTAGGACAAAGATTATTCTCTTAACGTTTCAGCAGTTTAAGAGTAGGACAAAGATTATTCTCTTTACGTTTCAGCAGTTTAAGAGTAGGACAAAGATTATTCTCTTAACGTTACAGCAGTTTAAAAGTAGGACAAAGATAATTCTCATTAAGTTTCAGCAGTTTAAGAGTAGGACAAAGATAATTCTCTTTACATTTCAGCAGTTTAAAAGTAGGACAAAGATAATTCTCTAAAAGTTTCAGCAGTTTAAGAGTAGGACAAAGATTATTCTCTTTACGTTTCAGCAGTTTAAGAGTAGGACAAAGATAATTCTCTACGTTTCAGCAGTTTAAGAGTAGGACAAAGATAATTCTCTTTACGTTTCAGCAGTTTAAGAGTAGGACACAAAGGCTATTTTCTTTCAGTTTCAGCAGTTTAAGGGTTATTAACACCTCAGTATATTTATCTTTCACCAACAATAACCAGACCCTCTCCCAGCACACATATATAATCAAGAGTATTATATAAAATACAAAATGTTTTAATGTTAAAAGGCAGCCAAAGACTGTTGTAGTTTATAATAATATACATGTTTTATTATTAAAGCATTGCTATTGAAAAAATAAGTAAAATAAGAAAGAAAAATAATTTTTATTGATACCTTAATTAGTTTTAAAGCTAAATTAAAAAAAAGATTCATATAATATTTAAAATACATAAACAGTATCTAAATACAAAAGATACAAAAGAATGTAGCATAATATTCAATAACTAGACTGTTATAAGCTCTGGTAATTATTTAGTAAGAAAATGCAAAATATCTTAAATTTCAAACAGTATCAAATTATTTGTGCTTTCTTATTCAATGATAAGGAAAATAATAAAGTACTTCTGAATCAGGATAATTGTAAATATTTCTGTTTGCTTAGTGATTATTGAAGTAAATAATGTCTTATTACATTTGTAAGGTAACATCCGATTTTTATGAGCATTTTAAAACTTAAATATCATTGTTTTAGAAGTTCCTTTTAATTAATTTGAATTCTTTATACATTACTTTGGAGATTATTTGTATATTTTAACAAACTTTAACAAAGGAAAAGTCCCTGTCTATTGTGTTTTACCAAAGGTCATTAATTTCAATACATTTTAGAAATCTGTAGGTCAAAGGTCAAGACTGTAAGAGATAATTTCAACTCGTATTATTATGAGAATCCATTGCCATACAAATTATAGTTTTAGCTTATTTCAGGAATCTGTATGTTAAAAGGCTAAAATATTAAGGTTTTATTTATTTTTTGGATATGTAGGTCAAAGGTCAAGGTTTCAAGTTTCACATGATTTTAGAATTTTGTAAGTTGAAAGGTCAAGACTGAATACTTGTATTTCATTTCTGTTTAGATATCAATAAGTTCAAGGTCTTCTAAAGTGAATTTCTGTCCATTTTAGGAATTTGTAGGTTCAAAAAATAAAAGCTAAATTATGTCCATTTGGTTGAAAAGTAAAGGCCAAATTCAAAAGTCTCTGTTTATTGTCAAAGGTCAACATACTGACTCAAAGTTCATCATTTTACGAATCTGTAGGTTCAAAGGTCAAGGACATAATCCTATTTTTGGCCAGCTGTTTATGTATGTGTCTATTTTTTTACTGTCAAATTGATATTTCTTACACATATTTATTTGTTGACATCAAATATTAATCAATAAAATATAACTTTTTCAGACATTTCTACAACTAGATGAACTTCCTGAAAATGAACAAAAGATCACAGAGGAAAAGATACCTGTTAAAGAATGTTTTATTGATATTAACAATGTTTCTGCTAGATGGGACCAGGTAATTTATCTTATTGTAATATTAATAAAAATACTATCGTGTAGTGGTGTCATAGTTAGAGAAAATACTAACAGTTTAAACGGTGACGTAATAACCGTGTTAAACGTTTAACCGACCATACTTAAATAAAAGCCTTAGACATTCAACATTTACTTTGTTTCTTTATGACAAGATATGCCATTTTTGTTCATATTTTGTTGTACTCAAAATGATTACAATACATATCCGAATATGGAGTAACTATTTTCCCAAGGGTCGTACCGTATTCGATCAGATCGGATAAAAGTACATTGCTGAGTAACTAAAAAACAAATAATTGTCATATCTTGTCATAAAAAATTAAGGTAATATTAAGAATCAATTTAAAACTTTTCTGCTCCTTAGTCAAATACTAACCTTGGTTACAGGTTATTGAATTTTCTAACAGGTTTTTATTTAAAAACCGACCATACCCGTTTAAACAGACCCCTACTATTATGCTTGTATATGAGTTACATTTAACATTAAAACATAAAATTTTAATTTCTTACATAGATCAGCTATGACATTTAAAACAGAAAGATTGCAAAAGATAAAAAAGAAATATAATAAAAAAATACATTGAAAATTGTATTTTTTTGCAATTTTTTGTAACACTTTTCAATTTTTGGTTATTTTTCACAATTGAAATAATTATTCTGGAAAAATGATGTGAGCAAATGACCTGAAATTTTGCACACAAGTTATTGGTCTAGACGTACATCAAATGGAATATTAATCTCGAAAAATTATTTCCAGTCCTGTCATGTCAAAAAAAAACTTTCAGAAATAAAATCAAATTGGTATTTATTAACTAGCCTTCTAAACTGTCATATTTGTGTTATAAACTTCCAAGTATTTTTGGAGAAATTCAGATTCATATTCAAAATGTTAAAGATTTAGTTTCCTGTTGTTTTACAAGCAAAATATTTTATAAGTGATATATATATTTTTTTATAATTTCAGAAAGTTGAACAGTTTACCTTGCAGAATGTTACTGCAAGAGTTGAGCCTGGTAAATTACTGGCTGTAATTGGACCAGTTGGTGCTGGAAAGGTAAATATTTATGTCTTGCATATTAGACTGGCATTTCCTTTAGTTTTACTCATGCTGGAAATTTCATCTGGCATGGGGGGTGCCAGTTGAGTCGTGTGCTTTACAATGGCCGGCTTAGGATGACGTACGTTTATGAATGAAGTTGTATTTTCATAGAAATCAGTAGGAAATGGAAAATTGTTTTATTAAAGTAAAGAATTTAAAATATAATGGAATATGGTAGAATATGCAAGAAAAAGTATCTGACACATGTTTGCGGTCCGGATCAGAATATCCGTCCCATGGGAACCCGCCCATAGGCTGTTCCCTTTGTGACGGATATTCTGATCCGAAACCGCAACATATGACAAAATAATGTATTATTAGTCTGTGCTGCTGGCAGTTTAATTCTAACTTCAATTAACAAGGGACAATCAAATTCGCAACAAAGATACAAAAAGTAAATAAGTAATCAATGTTTTTATGTCCTTTTATCTGTTTTCCTATTAACTCAAGCATTGTTTGGATGAATTTCTTTTTGTTGTTTGCATAAATGTTTTCAAAAATTTCTTCCATCAAAAAATTATTTGAAAATTAATATTTGAAATATTGTGATTCTAGAATCTATAATTTTTCCTATTTCTGATTGCAGTCGTCATTACTTATGTCAGTATTGAAAGAGTTACCTCTGTTGAAAGGAAATATAGAGTTGAAAGGTCGGATAGCTTACGTATCCCAGCAACCATGGGTGTTCTCAGCAAGTCTACGTCAGAATATTATATTTGGTAACAAGTATGAGAAGCTGAAATATGACAGAATACTGAAGGCATGTGCATTAACAAAGGTATAAAAAACAAAAAATTTTATAACACTGAAGAGTAAGACATTGTTTAAAGCTGCATGCCTTCTCAAGAGCCAAAATATTTCAAGAAAATCAATATTGAGAAAAATGTTGTACTAACATTTTAAGAAAGGTAAAAACATACAAGATTCAAGTTAAATTTTACATGTTATGTGTGGTTTAAGACTGGCAGTATTTTATCACCATATTTCTACTGCGTTACTAATGCAGTAAGGGCAGTTTTTGCATAATATTTATGTTGACCACATTTTGGTAACTTTCTTGGATTGTAAGTGCCAATAGCAATATGTTAATTACTTTATTTGTTCACCTCACAATATTTTACTTTTAAATACACATTTCCAAAACTTTCATGAAAATTTAATATGAATCCCAGGAGACGGGCTGCTTTAAATGAAAACAGATATAGAAAGAAAAGAGAGAGATTTAAATTACTTGTTAATATGTTATTAAATGTTAATAATTAGCTTACTGTGATGTAGTATTTTTAAACACATAATTTTATTATAACAGTATAACAGTAAACACCACTTAGAATGATATTGCTTGTATCGATATCATTTATAACGATATACAGCTTATAACGATGCTACTACTGTGGTCCCGACTTGTTTTCAAATTTGGTGTCTCTGGGTTATAATTATATCAAATCGGCAGTCCGCTGAATAACGTTTTAAGCGAAGTATTAGTAAAATAATCAACCATAATTATACCTACTGTCTCAAGATTGTATCTAACTGTTTTAGGATATTGATGTAATGCCTCATGGTGACATGACATTGATTGGGGACCGAGGTGTAAGTCTCAGTGGAGGTCAGCGTGCACGTGTAAGTTTGGCACGGGCTCTGTATATGGACGCGGAAGTTTACTTGCTTGACGATCCACTCAGTGCTGTTGACGCATCTGTTGGAAGACATTTGTTTGAAAAGTTTGTAATTTTAGTTTTTGTATATTGTTCATGACTAGCTGCTTTCAGATAAAGGAGCTATTAATCTTAAGTATTTTGGATTTATTTAGTTGCTCTATGGTCTTTTTAATTATGAAACCTAACAATTTCATTAATACCCTAATTATTTTAAATGCTTGAAATGGAGATGTCCTGAAATTTAACGTAAACTCTTGCAAGTTACGTTTATAACTTAGGAAGTAACCAGCTCCTGTCTGATATGAGGAAACATGGTTGTAATTCAAATAGGGCTTCAACTTTATATTCCTTGTTTGTGAGGCAAACATGTTAACCATTTGGCCACATCTCACTTGAATCATTGAAAAGAGTTCTGTAATTTCTTCACATGTTTTTGTCTCCCTTGAGGCCAAGGTCTAACCACTGTTTTTCCCACTGGCCTGCATGATCCTAGGAGGCGACTCAATAGGTTTGCATTTCTGGAGTCTATGGATCACTTAACTCTAGCAGATATAATGGTTTTCACATTAAGTTTGTAACACCCAAGGTAGGCCAAAATCTTCTTTCCTTTTTCAACGCCATATGACCTTAATTGTGTTTGTATGCTATTAAACCAAACAAAACATGTATAGAATTTTGTCAGGGTTGCATAAGATGAAGTTCAAGAAGTTAATGATATGTTTTAGAAAAAGTTGCAAATTTTCTATGATTTATATGATTTCTTACAGTGTTGTACAAGGAATATTGAAGAATAAGCCAAGAATTCTGGTGACACATCAGTTACAGTTTCTGAAGGAGGCAGAACAAATTCTCATTCTAAAAGAGGTATGGTGAATAATTTAAAGTTAACTCCTCCCACTGATCAGACCCCACCCACTTGCCCTTCTGTCATTGGCCTTCTGCATTAGCCTGTCATTTTGGCCAGACTCCATACTGTTTGCTGGTCAATTTTGGTATTTTGTTACAAAAATATTTCTGATTTACAAGGGACAGTGCCCAAGTTCAAAGGAGGGCAAGTTTATTACACAAGTTTAGAAATATATGTATCAAACGTTCATAAACAAAGTTCAAATACCTACATTACCTAATAAAGAACAACATCTGCAATTGTTTTAACATCAAATTCAATTCTGAACATTCTAACATACTTTAAACTATTCCCTATTCAACATACAGGGCAGTCAAGTGAGTTATTACACAATATATGCATGGCATCAGAAAGGAATGCTGGCCTTTGTTGTTATATTGAAACTCCAACAGTGCATTATTCTACAACAACTCGCTTAAAATTGATGACTATTTCTTAAATTAAGATTCAAACAAAGGGCAATTTCTTAAATTAAGATGAAAACAAAGGTCAATTTCTAAAATTAAGAAGAAAAAGGGTAATTTCTTAAAATAAGATGAAAACAAAGGGCAATTTCTTAAATTAAGAAGAAAACAAAGGGTAATTTCTTCAATTAAGATGAAAACAAAGGGCAATTTATTAAATTAAGATGAAAACAAAGGTCAATTTATTAAAGTAAGAAGAAAACAAAGGGCAATTTCTTAAATTGTGCTGAAAACAGAGGGCAATTTTTAAGATTAAGATGAAAACAAAGGGCAATTTCTTAGAAAAGGGCAATTTCTTAAAATTAAAATGAAAACAAAGGGCATGTTCTGAACTGAATTATCTTGCTGAAGTGAAAAAACATTAATATTTAAATGATTTCAGGGAGACATGATAGGTAAAGGAACATTCCAGGAGTTATCAACCTCAGGTATAGATTTCTCATCGTTACTGAAACATGAGGAGGAAGAGGAGGAGCCTCCCCCTGACCTTTACGAGTCATTTGACCCACATCAAAGGTTAGAGCTTTATACTGTTGTCATTTATCACTTATCAAATTTATAAATCATATGTGACCTTTACGAGTCATTTGACCCACATCAAAGGTTAGAGTTATACTGATGTCATTTATCACTTATCAAATTTATAAATCATATGTGACCTTTACGAGTCATTTGACCCACATCAAAGGTTAGAGCTTTATACTGTTGTCATTTATCACTTATCAAATTTATAAATCATATGTGACCTTTACGAGTCATTTGACCCACATCAAAGGTTAGGGCTTTATACTGTTGTCATTTATCTGTTATCAAATTATAAATCATATGTGACCTTTACGAGTCATTTGACCCACATCAAAGGTTAGAGCTTTATACTGTTATCATTATCTGTTATCAAATTATAAATCATATGTGACCTTTACGAGTCATTCGACCCACATCAAAGGTTAGAGCTTTATACTGTTGTCATTTATCTGTTATCAAATTATAAATCATATGTGACCTTTACGAGGCATTTGACCCACATCAAAGGTTAGAGCTTTATACTGTTGTCATTTATCACTTATCAAATTATAAATCATATGTGACCTTTACGAGTCATTTGACCCACATCAAAAGTTAGAGCTTTATACTGTTGTCATTTATAAGTTACCAAATTATAAATCATATGTGACCTTTACGAGTCATTCGACCCACATCAAAGGTTAGAGCTTTATACTGTTGTCATTTATCTGTTATCAAATTATAAATCATATGTGAATCATACTGTATTGTTTGTATTTTACCCCCCCCCCCCCCTTGAAGAAAATGTAAGGGGGGAGGGGTGTTTGAAAAGTGGAAACAATATGATGTTAGGAATCAGATATTATGGCAAAAGATAATCAAATTGTCTTTTTGAGCACTTCCAGTGGTAATAGACCATTTATTTGGCAGTTGTATAGAGTTACTTGAATCTTTTATTGGACTTTTCCAAATTTAAGACAAATTTTGGCAAGTTAGTTATACAAAAAATCCATAGAGGTTAAGTACTTTATGAACCAAAGCCTGAAGGAGACTAGGTTTGTCTTGTTTTGGGGTGAAATTTAGGGTCATGAGTTAGTGATGTTAAAATAAAACTAGATTTTACTGATTTTGATGTTGAAATATTATCAGAATATTGACTTAAATTCTAAAATTTTATCACGTAAGAACATTTCTTGAATCTTTTGATTTCTTATGCTAATAATTATTAAGTGTACATATAATAACTCAATGATTGACGTTTATAACAGGTTTAATTAAAAAATTATTTTTGTAACCAACAGCCAGAGCAGATTACATGGCCTACATTCCAAATCACACGAGCACGTTAATGGATATTTGCATAATTTACGGAAGCGTACTCGTGTAGATTCTTCTTGTTCACATCATTCCGTTAACGATTCCGTCAAGGGCTCTATGATGTCACTTGCTTCCATTGGAACGGAATTTGAGGTAAAGAAATACTGATTATTGAGTTATTTCAGTAATGTAAGAAAACATTTTACAGGATTCTCATAGAACCTTAGAGTCAACAGGGTTATATGTATATCCGTGAAACACCTAGTCCAGGTTTTTTTATTGAAACTTACTTCTCATGAAATACTAAAGCTATTTTCTTAAGTCACTGACCAAAATTTATAATAAGTATATAGAATTTTATAGAGTTGCCCCCCTTTTGTACTTCTTGTAATTCTGCCTTTATTCCTTGTGATAGACTCATCATGATTCATAAGGGGTTGCCTTAAAGGTTTGAGGCATCAGAATTGCAGCTACTGTTTATCCCTGAGTGATCATATGAGGCAACTAAATGGGTTCAAATTACTTGAGTCAATGCATCTCTAAGCTCCAGCAGGTGAGGTGAGGTGGTTTGACCCCTGGTGTTAGTTTGTAACACCGAAGGTTAGCCAAAATTATTTTCCCAGGTTTGGTGCCATAAGACCTAAATTTTGTTGGTGTTTATAAAACAAAACGAAAGTTAAAGTTGTTAGGTAACAAGATAATCATTTATATTTTACAGGCAGAGACGGTACAGTTACCAGAAGAGGAAGAGAGACATGAAGGCACTGTTGGAATGAGTGTGTACTATCAGTATTTTAAGGCAGGAGCGGGGATTATCAAGTTCTTAATTCTCGCTTTACTCTGTATAGCTGCACAAGTTGCTTATATCTACAGTGATTGGTGGCTGTCCATATGGTGAGATAATTGGTTGACATTGGTGTTTTTGTTGAAAGTTACTTTGATCTATACATCTTGATAAAGGGTTGCTTCTTTATCATCCAAATGTGCTCATCTAGTCAATTAATGTTCGCTACATTTATATAAATGTATATGTAAGAAAATTAAGGGGCTTCATTTTAATTATATTCTGACACTTAGTCAAGAGAAATAATGTTTATGTTTCTTTTTTCACTTACCTGTGTTACAATTATGAAATACAGCTTTTCATGCACTTGTTTTGGTGCAGTTGTGGGAAAATTTGAAGTTGTGAAATTTGGGGTAGGAGGAGGAAGTTAATTTTAGTTATTTGTTGTAATTTGGATAAATTGTGGGTTCTATTTTGGAAAACTTAGGCATTTCTTATGATTTTGAATTGGACTTGCCTAAAATAAAACAAAAATACAACAGCAGAATATAAGGTTCTGCTGGACACAATATGAGAGGCCAATATAGAGCAGGCCTATCTTCAGTACAGCATAGTTTAACCATACTCTCTTCAGGGACTCTCCCAGCTATTTTTGGAAAAATCCATAGGCATAAATTGGGGTAAATTAATCGACATTTTTAGGAAATTCAATTTAGAAAATTAAAATAATTGAAAATCTACCATTATGTATGACTTTTTTAGGTTTTAACATTTGTTTGGTCATATAACATGTCATAAGTCAAATGAGGCTCATTTTGATTGAGAATGATGCCTTACTTAAGCGCCTGGTAATAGGTAGAAAATACCTTGCTCTTTCTTGCTGAATGTTTAATTGACTTTTTGTGTTTTTGGCACAAAAATCCCATACAGTTGAAATGCATAGTTTGAATTGAAAGGACATTTCCAATATTCATAATTGGGAGTTTTGATTAGTTGAACTTGTAATATTATAATGCTGTTATGTCATTTTATATTTCCTATATTTTGCATTCTTTTGTTTCAGGTCCAATCAAGAGGAAGCAAGATTTGCTGCTATGAGAGAAGACAGTTTGTTACGTAATGAATATCAACTTCGTAACCTAACTTATAATGGCACAAATATAACAATACCAGAAGTTGATACACATTTTAACGTCGCTGTATTCAGTGGACTTATAGCCAGCGTCTTTCTTTTAGGTCTTCTAAGAGCTCTCATGTTTTTCAAGGTCGCTGTAGACGCGTCACAAGCATTACATAATACAATGTTCGCAGCTATTTTAAGATCTCATATTGGATTCTTCGATACAAATCCAGTTGGTATGTATTTTTATGGAGAATGAAACAAAATTTGAATATCATATTTTAAGTTAATATTTTGAGGGTTGACAGCAAAACCTATGTAAGTTAAGTCCTTCTATACTTCATATTAGTTACTACAATTTTGTGGTCAACCCTCAATATGGTCAAATTCCCTGGTAATAAGCAATGTAATGTAAACATGGATTCCTTAAAATTTTCATTTTAAAATGTTTCCTTTTACAACGAGGTCACTTAAATTTACAGGATAGATGGAGTACCCAAAACATACTACATGTATAAATAATCATCTTAAATTTATCAGATTTTTGTGTAGTTCATTTTCCAGTATACTTAAAAAAACACACACAAAAAAATAACAACAATCAAAAAAAAAATATAACTTTTGCAGGTCGAATTTTAAACAGATTTTCCAAAGATGTGGGTCACATGGACGATATTCTACCAATAACATTCTTTGATTTCATCCAAGTAAGTTTTGTTTTGAAATAAAAATTTTCTCAATGGGAAAAAACAATGAGCATTAGTGACTACAGAAAATAATAAATGTTAAATTAGATGACAATGTAATATCATATTTAAGCATGTAATATCTTCAATATAATCATGTATATTGGTATTCAGTTTAGTATTTAAATTATTTATTTCATGGCTGAAACATATGTCTTCATACATTTTATATTTCAGTGTGTGTTATTATATTAAAACTACTCAGTGATTCAGTCGGTATCTAAATTTGATTCAGCATATTTAGCTAGATTTACACTTAAAACCCAAAATATATAGAATTTATACAGAAATTCTTGCTGGGACTTTAAAAATTATCATTTTAGTGTGATTTTAGTTCATAAGTTATTTTAATATTTTTGTCATTAATTTGCCTCAGTACTGGTTGGGGAGATAACTTCGGCTGGTTGATAAACTCGGCTTTTTATAATTAAATCGAGTTATCGGAATTTTCAATCTAATCAAGCTCACCATCTCATAGTATGGCTGGAATTCTACAATATCTGGAAATTTTTCAAGTTTGGTAAGATATTTAAAAAATAACACAGACTTTTACCTGTTTGTTTACAAAACATGCCTATAAAAAGTACGGGAATCCCATTGTTGTGCGCATGTGCAGCAGATGCTCTTTTTGAGGCCCGCACAGGGGTACTTAAATTATATATTGACCGACTACCGGTAAAGCAGGCGACGTTTACGTACACATTTTGTAGATGAAATTCAGACTCACTTTTGTTTTGCTAACTCAGAAAAAAGGCTGATTACACAATTGTAATTCCCTGCGGTCTGGAGACCGCAGGGTATTGGTACGCGTTTAACTTTTGAGGCATGGAGGAGCACGTGACCTGTTTTCGGTACATGGAGGAGCATGTGATCTGTAAACCGTACATGATTGGTTAATTGACCTTTTCGAAAACCCAGCTAAATAACGTTTGCCAGTACGTTACGGATTTACCTGTAGGGAATTAGTCAGAATTACGCCTAATTAAGAACAAAAAACTATTGCGTGATATTTCTAATTTTCTACAATTATTTTACCGTTTAAGGTGGAAAAACTTGAATGATGTGTCTGAAAATTATCAATGTTTCTTTAATATCTATCTCAAATTTTACAAACAATAAATTGTTTATACTGAAAATCTACAAAATTAAAATATTCGTAGTGGCATCTGCCATAATAAATAGAGATATTTTCTGCATAAACTTGTGTGTTTACTTTATTTATTTTTTGCTCGGAATAATTCATAAAATGGTAGGCCTATTTATTCATTTTCTTAAAAAGAAATTCGACCTTCTCCGGTCTTCAACGGTCACCACTTTCCAAAGACCTTCTTCTATATTGATCGTTTATTCAATTGTCAAATATATTCCTGATACAAATGTTTATTTATTCCCCCCACCCCCAAAAAATGTTGAAAATAGTTAAATGAAATATCTTTATATCATTAAAATGTTCACCGCAGGAAACCATTTTACTTGTCTTTAAGTGGTATGGATTTAAAAAAGACTGATGTTAAATGCTTCTTTTATATGTTAATGTGTAGGTTGAATACCACTAAATTAATTTCTTCTTCACTCTGTTAAGCTAAGCAAAAATAAATTTGAATCACTAATTCTTTAACTACATAGTTCGTTATGTATACGTTAATAAATGATAATGCATGTGATTTTACGTAAAAATGATTTATATGTTACATAGTTCGTTGCATATAAATACCGTGGTATCATAGATATTCATTATACTAACGTAATGCTCAACAATTTTGGTAACAAATATTTTTTATTTGACATAAATGAACAGCAAAGAAATAATTGAATGTCTTAACATCTTATTTTACATTTTAACTTACTCATTTAAGAAGAAAAACAAAGAGCCGGAATTATCTACTCGCGCGCGTTAAAAATATCCTTTTTACGTACCTCTTCCAGGGCCTCTCAAAATTACCCGTTATGTTTTTAAATATGACTTTTATGGTGATACCGGAAAATCGAAGAGCTGAAGTTTATTATGGTGCAAGATTCATCAGAATACGTAAACAAATAAATGAAATATACCCCCAAAACACTGATTTTCGGCGGAGTTTATTTCCCAAACCAGTATCCCTTTAAGTTTTTAATTTTAATAAAAACAACAACAACTTTTTTTTAAATTTCATGGAAACTTCATGTCTTTCATACATTTTATGATTTCAGTGTGGGTTACTCATACTTGGTATAGTGATAGTTGCTGGAGTAGTGAATCCCTGGGTGTTTATAATTGTTGTACCTCTTATAGTGATGTTTATAATTGTGCGGAGATATTATATCCGTACATCCAGACATATCAAAAGACTTGAAGGAACCAGTGAGTCAATTATTTTTTAATTGTTACTTTAAACGATACTTATTTTGGTATGTAGGAAGAAATTTATTAAAAGACAGTAAAGAATGTAAAGGATAATAAAAACTTTTCCATATAAGCAATTCAAGCGAGGTGAATGATAAAATTTAAAATGAAGATCAATGTTTGAATGAAGATTTAAATGTGCATATCTTGTAAAATTATAATAAAAACGTATTTTAAAAAAGTGATTAAGTGAACAAACATAAATAAGAATGTATAAATGTTTGTACTTGCAGCACGTAGTCCAGTATTTTCTCACCTAAGTGCCACACTACAAGGTTTACATACTATTAGAGCGTTTGGGGCCGAGGGAAAGTTTACGGAGGAATTTGACTGTCACCAGGATTTACACACGGAGAGCTGGTTCCTGTTTCTGTCCTCATCACGATGGCTCGCTATCCGACTTGACTGGTTGTGTGCTATTTTTGTTACGGCTGTCTCATTCTGCTGTGTATTTGCTGCTGAAAGTATGTATAGTGACAGATCACCTATAGATTCAATTTAAGTGGTCTACAGCTTAAAGGGGCATCTTTTGCTAAGTGGTTAAGGTTGTTGACTTCAAACCACTTGACCCTTAACTATGTGTTCAAATCCCACTAGGAACTTTCCATGATTCCTTCATGTGAAGAAACTATCCAACTACCTTACAAAGTGTCAGTGGTTCTACTCAGGTTCCTATTTGTCAAATTGGGAAAACTTGTTTAAATTTTTTTTGACTGAATTTCTAGGTTAACTTTTTGTTAAGGTTAATTCATGAAGAAGTATCAAAGATATTCACTTTAAACTTGGAGTACCTCTTCTTTACTAAATTTGAAATGCATTTCTAAGGGGCAATTTATCCTTAAAGCTATTTTTGATTAATACTAGTAATTTCCCTTTTTTACATAGAATATTGGCCTTTTTCAAAAACTGCTAAAGGTATGCACCTCAAACTTGCAATATTTGTTGGCTGTTGAAAGCAGGTATTTTTCTCTGCTATTTGTGTCCCTTTTTCCATGTGGTCTTTTTTCTATGATCCAGCACAGAAAAGAAAATTGTGTTGTCTGTGGACAGGTTTTGCTTGTTATTTAGATATGAAATAATAAGATATGAATGCATATTTTTTTATTGATTTATCTATGGCATGTGTTATGGCATTGATTGAATGGCAATGATTTATTTATATTATAGGTTTGAATGCTGGGCTGGTAGGTTTATCAATGACCTATGCTATGACATTAATGGGAATGTTCCAGTGGGGTGTGAGGCAAAGTGCAGAAGTTGAAAATCAGGTAAACTTACTGTTCTCAAGAAAAATGTCTTTTATACTTTACATGTTAGCAGCATTTGTTACATTATCCTGATGATCATTATTAGTTTATATGAATTTATTATAGTTTGATTGTGTCATAAGCTATAAGCTTATTGAAACACTTGAATTTGTTCCTTGAACCAACCAGTACAAAGCAATGAATGCACAATAGTTTCTTGCTCAAGGACACAGTGGATTCTTTAGAAACTTCTGGCAATTCAATTTCAGCTTTTTTCAATTAAAATTTCTTAAATACAGCAGTTGACATTTTCCAAATACAAAGCAGGGTAACTCTTATTATACAGCTTTAGAATTTACAAGCTAAATCTTTCTAATGAAGGGTAGTGTATATGTCTATTTCTATCTTGAATATTTAAAAGAAAAATTTGACCATCTTACTCACCCTGTTTAAGACACTGTTACAGCACTTGTTGATTTATAACATCATGTAAAAAAAGCTTTTACAGTTGAATATGTAATGTAAGGTATATTTATAAGTCTATTAAGACAAACAAAATTATTTTGTTCAAAGTCTGAAATTTGTCATCTTTGTTTCTATCTTTAAGATGATCTCAGTAGAAAGAGTATTAGACTATGCCAAATTGCCATCAGAGGCCCAGCTAGAGGTAGAAGAAGAGAAACAACCACCCCCAAGCTGGCCTCAAAATGGACAAATATCAACTGATGAAGCTTGTCTTAGATATTCTAAAAATGGGCCTCTTGTATTGAAGGACCTTTCGTTCACAATCAGAGCTAGAGAAAAGGTTTGTTATGAAAAAAAAAAGAAAAAAAAGTTTTGGGTAAAAATGAAAAAATTCTTTCATAGAATTAAAAATAATTGATTTTTCACAACTTTTGTTTTTTAAACCTAAATACACTGTTTATTGGAAGAAAGAATTGAAACAAAAATTACAGATTAGGGATAAAATAAGTAAAATGAAAGCTTTATTAAATTGTCATTTAATCTTGTATTATAGATATGATAGATATTCTGATCATAAAATAGAAAAAACAGAATCCCTAAAGAACACACAAAACAGCAAAATTGAAGATGCTGCAGTGCCCATTAGCACTGGCTTAAGCAGAATTCAACATTTAAATATAAAAATACAAAATGTAGTATAATTTTGAATTTAGAAACATCCGCAGATGTGTTCATCTTCAACATTATTATGCTGGCATTTAAAAAAAAAATCAACATTTTTAGCAAATGTTTATACAAAATTTATTACTTCTTGCAGGTTGGAATTGTGGGAAGGACGGGCGCCGGAAAAAGTTCCCTCATTACGATGTTGTTCCGGTTGGTTGAACCAAATGGTAGAATTACAATTGACAACATCAATGTTCAGAGTATTGGTCTCCATGATCTAAGAAAACATATCTCCATCATTCCACAGGTTGGTATATATTATTATATATAATCTTTATATTTAGTGTCAGGGTGAGAAAAATTTGCAGCCTGATTGGGACTTGAACCAGGGACCCTTGGAATACAGTACTGTGGCTCTACCAACTGAGCTGTCCCGCAGCTTGATTGATTGATTTTCTTTAGACCGGGGGGGGGGTCAAAGAAACGTGCCAGCACTTATTTCCAGTAGGGTCCTCACCTTAGCAGACACTAGAGACAGCTATGAGATACAAGGAAATCCGGGAACCAGTCCCTAGCTCTTATTGAATAGATTCCTTGGTTCTTTTACCTGCCCAGTGTACAGCACTGATACATGCGATGATTATCTGGGTTTTGTACCAGTATAGTTCTAGGTAGGTTGGAAGCACTGATAGTGTTTCTGAAAAATCCCAAGGGTGTTACCTAGGATCGAACCTGGAACCTCAGGAGTGACAGTCAGTGATGTAACCAACTGAGCTATCGCGCCACCTAAATAAAGCTTACACACAATATCTCCCCAAGTAATGAATAGTTCTGAACTGTAACATCAGTCCTATTTTAAAAAACTGTCCATTAGTTTGTTTTAACAGGTGGCCTCTTTAAAACATGTATTTTACATTATACATATATTATTATTAGTCCCCTACCGGTTTACCGGAGGGGACTTTAGGTTTACCCTCCGTCCGTCTGTCTGTCTGTCCGTCTGTCCGTCCGTCAGTCCGTCCGTCCGCAAAACTGGATCCCGCAATAACGCAAAAAGTACTGAAAATATTTTAATGAAACTTGATATATGGATAGATGGCAGTATGGAGATTATGCACGTCTTTTTCTTTTCTTCCTATGTTGAAAATTCTGGTTGCTATGGCAACAAATAGACTGAAAATATGGCAAATTTTACACATAACCTGGATCCCGCGATAACGCAAAAAGTACTGAAAATATTTTTATGAAACTTGATATATAGATAGATGGCAGTATGGAGATTATGCACGTCTTTTTCTTTTCTTCCTATGTTGAAAATTCTGGTTGCTATGGCAACAAATAGACTGAAAATATGGCAAATTTTACACATAACCTGGATCCAGTGATAACACAAAAAGTACTGAAAATATGTTTATGAAACTTGACATATGGGTAGATGGCAGTATGGAAATTATGCACATCCTTTTCTTATCTTCCTGTGTTGAAAATTCTGGTTGCTATGGCAACAAATAGACTGAATTTCAAGATTTCTGATTCTAGTTTTTAAGTTTTTTCACTATAAGTTCTTTATTTCTTAAGCTATTTTCTTCAAACTTTAAATATAAGTTGCTTGTCATCAACCACATAATATGTGACAAGGTTTACAACTCTAGCACAAAATTTATCAGAATTACCTCCCTTGAACTTAAAATTTTCATGAAAAAAACATTGTTTTTTTTTTTTAATAACTTCTTTTTCTGAATGTATCTACTTCAAACTTCATATAATGTTTCTTATTATCACTCAACATTTGTGAGTGTTCAATACTCTAGCAAGACTATTTCCAGAATTATGCCCCTTTTGAACTTAGACTCTTTTTTTGAGAAATTGGTAATTTTTACTCCAACTTCTTCAATCATGATAGGATTTTAAAAATGTTATATTTTGATAACAGGGATGTTTAAAAAATAACTTTAGAGTGTCCTTCAGTCTGTCTGTCTGTACATAAAAACTGTTTCCTGTGATCACTTTAAAAGAACTTTGTCAACAAATTTACTTAAAATAGGAACATAAGTGAATGGCCAATGGCCCTTCAGAATGTTGCTTGGGCTCTTACCAGTAGGGGACTTATGGATTGCTTGCAATACTATGATAATTGCTTGTTTTCTTAGTAGTCAGCTTTGTTTCAAAAGTCCAACCATACGAACAAATTGCTTATAACAGGTGGCCTCTTAAAACATGTACTATGTCTTATTATGATCAAACAAGGAAAAAATAGTGATTTATTAGCTCTAAATTGCAAGATTATAAAAAATTACAAAAAACATTTGCTAAAAATTCAAATTGGATTCAAAGAAAATTAATTAAATTATTGGGACATTGTTATATTTGTTTTCTGTGATTTCAGGACCCTGTGTTATTTACCGGAAAGCTACGTAGAAATTTGGATCCGTTCAGTAACCATGGAGATGATGCTCTTTGGAATGCACTTACTGAAGTAAGAACATTAATACTTGATTTTCTCAATATTACGATATTTACTCTAAACAAGAAAAACAAATACAGTCATAGCAGTCCTAAAAAAAAATTTGTATATACATAAACCATGCATTCAAGCACAATTAAGGTCAATAGTGATTAGTCAGGGGCATCCATGACCAAGTGGTTAAGGTCATTATCTTCAATCCACTAGCACCTCACCGCTGTGGGTTTGAATCTTCTCGACAGGAACTTTGGATTCTTTCATGTGGGGAAGCTATCCAGCTAACTTATGGAATGTTGGTGGTTCTACTCAGGTGCCCATTGGTGCCTGAAATAATGCACGGAAGACACTTGAGGTCTTCTACCAGTTAAGCTGGAAAGTCGCCATATGATCTATACTGAGTCGATGTGACTTAAAACCCAACCCCCCCCCCAAAAAAAAAGACAGTAGTTTGAAGGCTAAAGTCACTGAGGCTTATAGTGGACTTTTCTAAATTTTGTTGTTTTCTCTCATTTATTGAGCCAATGTCATCAATATCTAGTATGAAGGTATCTTAGATGTATATCTACTCTTCAGTTGGTTTAAAATGATGAGGTGCAATTCTTAAGGCCAAAAAAAATTTCTTTTATGTTTTTTGCCAGTTTTCTCATTGTCAAACCCCATTTTTGGACTTAGACATGCCCTTTAGACATCCCGATAAGTCCCAACAGTGGACTGCTTCAAGGGTTTCATAGCAAGTAATTGCATCAGTGCAAATTGTGGAATTTAAAGAAGAATCTCCCCAGGTTAGAACTAACAACTATATAACAAATGTGTACACAGAAATGATTTTTGTATTCAAATTTGTTAGTATGATTAACAAAAATTTGGTCGGAATTTCAAAGGCAGGTCCAAAAAATAAATTTTGTATTCAATGACTTTTTCCATTATTAAGGTACAGCTAAAACAAGCTATCGAAGATCTTCCGCATGGATTAGACTCGGAGGTGTCAGAGGGCGGTATTAACTTCAGTGTCGGACAGCGTCAGCTGATATGTCTTGCCAGAGCAATTTTACGCAACAATAAAATCCTCATGATTGACGAAGCTACAGCAAATGTTGACCCAAGGTATATAGTCTCCTTTCTGTTGACATCAAATGATCACATTATAGATGGCACATTGTCACTGATGAAAAATATGCATTTTGACAGAATTATGCCCATTCTTAGCTTGACTATTTGATAAGAATAAGAAGAGCTGTCCTAGTCACCTGAGCATTGGCTTCAGGGTAACCACTTATGTTAAATTGTTGTAACACCTCAAATATTTTCAAAGTCCATTGACATATGGCTTAGAAACTTTGCACTATTGTTCACCATCATGACCCCAACCTGTAAACAGGAGGAGGTAATTCTATCAAGCATTTTGACAGAAGTATGCTCCTTTTTTTACTTAGAATTTATGTTAAAGTTTGCTACCATCACAAATATTTTCAATGCCCATTGACATATGGTTTTGAAACTGCACTATTGTTCACCATCATGACCCAAACATGTAGACAGGAGGGGGTAACTCGTTCAAGCATTTTGACAGAATTATGTTCATTTTTCAACTAATTTATGGTCAAGTTTTTGTAACATCTCAAATATCTATAAAGTCCATAGACATATGGTTTTGAAACTTAGCACACTTGTTCACCATTATGACCCCTACTTGTAGACAGGAGGAGGTAATTGTATTAACCATTTTGACAGAATAATGCCCCCTTTTTGACTAAGAATTTACATTAAAGTTTGCATACCACCTCAGATATTTTCATATTCCATTGACATCTAGCTTTGAAACAAATTGAAATTTTATACACTTCTTTGAGATCATAATAGGACTCTCTCCAAGGCCTGTAACTGTAATATGGATTAAAAGAAAAATTTATTACTTTTGTTAACTTAGAAAATTTTACATTATCAAGGCTCTTTTACTATCAAGCAATAAGAATAGTCAAGCGTGCTGTCCTACCGACAGCTCTTGTTAGTGATTATAGTCATTTTATACTTATAAATTCTGACAGTTTGGTGTTTAAAGAAAATCCTGTTTAATTTACTGTTCTATTATTAAAATTTTGACTTTCAAATATTAATGGATAGAGTTGGAAGCTTTAAAATTTGGAGAAAGGGTGATCTCACAGAAGCATTAATCACAAGAAAATTACATAAAGATTGCAGCCTTGGTTTTTATTGAGTCTGTGCATGAAGGATAATGAAAAAGTGAAACATCACTTCTTTTTACAGCTCTTTCTCTTCTTTGGCATTTTGGTAGAAAATCTCTTAAGCAATAAAGTTTTGTTATATTTGTTGAAATGTTTACAATTTATTTTTGTTATTCAGGACTGATGCATTGATTCAACAAACTATACGAGAGAAGTTTAGCAAGTGTACAGTATTGACTATTGCCCATAGATTACATACAATTATGGATTCTGATAGATTGCTGGTAAGTCTAAAGTAAAAGCATTTACAATATCTATGTAAAAGATAGTTTGCTGGTGTGTTTGACTGGGTTTTGAATAATACCTACCCTGTTAAGGTCATAAATTGGTGTCCTGTTTTCCTGGAAATGGAAAAATTAAATATGCTGTATTTTAAAACAGTGATTTTAGTAGAACTACTTGCCTTTATAACATCATAACCTAACTGGCTGGCTTATTTTCATGAAAAAATTCTGATTCTCTCACAAAGTATGTATGCAAGCTTTGGTGGGTGGGTGAGGTGGCTGAGTTTGAATCACCTCCTCCTCACTGGTTAAAGTTAGAACCCTGCCATAGATTTTTTTCTTGTAAATAAGATAACCAGCTCTTTCACAAGTGAATCTGGGAAGTCACCATATGACCTTTCAGTATAAGTGTGAATGCAATCCAAGCCAAAAAGAAGGAATTCTTTTTTAGCTCACCTGTCACAAAGTGACAGGGTGAGCTTATGTGATCGCTTTTCGTCCTGCGTCCGTCCGTCCGTCCGTCCGTCCGTAAACTTTTACTTTAAATGACATCTCCTCATAAACCACTAAGCCAATTTCATCCAAACTTCACAGGAATGTTCCTTTGGTGGTCACCTTTAAAAATTGTTCAAAGAATTTAATTCCATGCAGAACTCTGGTTGCCATGGCAACCGAAAGAAAAAACTTTAAATATCTTCTTTTAAAAAACCATAAGAGCTAGAGCTTAGATATTTGGCATGAAACATCTTCTAGTGAGTGTCTACCAAGTTTGTTCAAATAAAAGTCCTGGGGTCAAAATTGGCCCCGCCGGGGGGGGTCATTGATTTTTCCTATATGCATATAGTAAAAACTTAAAAAATCTTCTTTTAAAGAACCCAAAGAGCTAGAGCTAAGATATTTAGCATGAAACATGTTCTAATGGGTGTCTACCAAGTTTGTTCAAATAAAAGCCCTGGGGTCAAAATTGGCCCTGCCCAGGGGGGACATTGATTTTCCCTATATGCATATAGTAAAAACTTAAAAAATCTTCTTTTAAAGAACTCAAAGAGCTAGAGCTTAGATATTTGGCATGAAACATCTTCTAGTGAGTGTCTACCAAGTTTGTTCAAAATAAAAGCCCTGGGGTCAAAATTGGCCCCGCCCCAGGGGGTCATTTATTTTCCCTATATGCATATAGTAAAAACTTAAAAAATCTTCTTTTAAAGAACCCAAAGAGCTAGAGCTAAGATATTTAGCATGAAACATGTTCTAATGGGTGTCTACCAAGTTTGTTCAAATAAAAGCCCTGGGGTCAAAATTGGCCCGGCCCCAGGGGGTCATTGATTTTCCCTATATGCATATAGTAAAAACTTAAAAAATCTTCTTTTAAAGAACCCAAAGAGCTAGAGCTAAGATATTTAGCATGAAACATGTTCTAATGGGTGTCTACCAAGTTTGTTCAAATAAAAGCCCTGGGGTCAAAATTGGTCCCGGCCCGGGGGGTCATTGATTTTCCCTATATGCATATAGTAAAAACTTAAAAAATCTTCTTTTAAAGAACTCAAAGAGCTATGGCTAAGATATTGAGCATCAAACATGTTCTAATGGGTGTCTACCAAGTTTGTTCAAATAAAAGCCCTGGGGTCAAAATTGGCCCGGCCCCAGGGGGTCATTGATTTTCCCTATATGCATATTGTAAAAACTTAAAAAATCTTCTTTTAAAGAACCCAAAGAGCTAGAGCTAAGATATTTAGCATGAAACATGTTCTAATGGGTGTCTACCAAGTTTGTTCAAATAAAAGCCCTGGGGTCAAAATTGGTCCCAGCCCGGGGGGTCATTGATTTTCCCTATATGCATATAGTAAAAACTTAAAAAATCTTCTTTTAAAGAACTCAAAGAGCTATGGCTAAGATATTGAGCATCAAACATGTTCTAATAGGTGTCTACCAAGTTTGTTCAAATAAAAGCCCTGGGGTCAAAATTGGCCCCGCCCCTGGGGGTCATTGATTTTCCCTATATGCATAAAGTAAAAACTTAAAAAATCTTCTTTTAAAGAACTCAAAGAGCTATGGCTAAGATATTTAGCATCAAACATGTTCTAATAGGTGTCTACCAAGTTTGTTCAAATAAAAGCCCTGGGGTCAAAATTGGCACTGCCCCCGGGGGTCATTGATTTTCCTTATATGTGTATAGCAAAAACTTAAAAAATTTAGTGAAAAAACCCAAATAGCTAGAGTTAAGATATTAAGCATGAAACATCTTTTAGTGAGTGTCTACAAAGTTTGTTCAAATAAAAGACCTGGGGTCAAAATTGGCCCCGCCCCGGGGGTCATTGATTTTCCTTTTATGTGTTTAGCAAAAACTTAAAATCTTCTTTGAAAAAAACCAAATAGCTAGAGTTTAGATATTAAGCATGAAACATCTTCTAGTAAGTGTCTACAAAGTTTGTTCAAATAAAAGCCCTGGGGTCAAAACTGGCCCGGCCCCAGGGGTGTCATTGTTTTTAACTATATGTGTATAGTAAAAACTTAAAAAAATCTTCTTTTAAAAAGCCCAATGAGCTAGAGCTTAGATTGTTTAGCATGAAACATCTTCTTATGGGTGTCTACCAAGTTTGTGCATATAAAAGCCCTTGGGTTAAATTGGCCCTGCAACATTGGGGGGGGGGGGGGTTGGGGGGCCTATATACAGGTGAGCGACTTTGGGCCATCATGGCCCTCTTGTTTTTTTTGTTTCCACTGTTATCAGAAGAAACATTATGTACCACTGTTAGAAAAAAATATAGAAAAACTTCACTTCTTTTAACTGACTGTTTCTTATTACATTTGATTTGATTTAGTAGCATATTCAATGCAAAGAATAAAGGAAGACCAAATTGATATTTTTATATGTCAAACAAGGTAAGATTGCAAGATTTTCAATATTGCTGTGTCAAGAAACTTTAAAGTTTTCTTTTGTCTATATTTTTATAATGTTGATTACATGGTTTTTAGTGTTCTAAATGAGTATTTTTCTAACGCTTAGGTACTTGACGATGGAAAGGTAGTAGAGTTTGATGTGCCATACAAGCTTCTACAAAGCTCAAACAGTACGCTAAGAAAGCTGGTTGAACAAACTGGCAAATCTGAAACCATTCATCTGATGGAGATAGCAAAAACTGCTTTTGAAAAGTCCAAAGAGATTGTTGACAGTAATGTTAAAGATGGTAAAGTAAATGAGCAGGATTCTGTTTCAGTCAATAACGTTTCTGCAATAGTTGAAGACAACGATAGGGACAATAATGATGATGCAGATATGGAAATGAATGAAGAGCGAAGTCTTTTAGTTCAGGATAGTGGTAATGTAGTAAAAGGTGATGAAGGGAAGGTAGATAAAGTGGTGAATGATGGCATGGAAAACACTGAAGGTAAAGATAAACTTGTAGAAAAGGAGAATAAAGAGTTCAATGCTAGTGGTAAAGAAGGCAAAATTGATGTTGACCATGAGGTGGATAAAGAAGAGCGTGCAAGTGGAAGTGATGAAACTGAAGATGGTGCTAATGAGTATACACTAACTGATATAGAAGATGCTAGTCATGATGATATTGAAGATGTAGATGATGATAATGCCAAACTGCTTGGAAAGGACGAGAAAGATAAGGAAGACATGGTTGATGATACAAAACAACGATCAGAGACCAAGCATGAGGTTAATGAAAATGATGAAACATCAAAACTTTTACCTGGACATGATGAGAAGGTTGACAACTAAATAGCAACATTTTAATCATTTATAGGTTCTTTTTGTTCCACCTTTTTCCTAACAGTTACAGACCAGATGTTGTGGTAGACCAGAGTTAAAAAAATTAATGTATTTTGAAAATTAGTTATATACTTTTATTACATGTTTTTGGTGGTTTATAGAAATATATCAGTGATATAAAACTGGTAATTTCACTGTTTTGAATTTAAGCCCCTTACATTGTTTCAGTGAAATACCAGCGTGCACAGTACTGGGTACCAGCTTAATGACATGACGTCGTAAATGACGTCACGTTATATTATTATTTGGCGCGCTTTTCATTCAGTATTAGGTTTTATATCTTTTTAAAACGTTTCTTTGCATGTAATAAAAAGAAAATTTGTTTAGTTTATTGTAAGATCGAAATATATTTCACCTTGTGAACACCAAAAGTTCATATTTCACTCGTGGCTGTGCCACTCGTGAAATATACCTTTTGGTGCTCACTCGGTGAAATATATTCCGATCTTTCACTGAACTAAACAAATATCCTCTATACATTTTCTATATACTGCATTAACTCGAGACAAAAGTATTATTTATATTTGGATATTTGAATTTCATATTAGGTACACATTAATCATGTTTTTAATAAATGCATTTTTTAAAAATCACTTGAATGATGACTTACATGTTTTCTTTATTGCCTAGTCAGATGTATTTTTAAGTATTTTTCTATTTTTTTAGATTGCCTAAAATTTTTATATCATTTATTTTATTAGAACATACAAGTAGGGCTGGTTTAGTGCTGCAATAAACTGAAGTATTATTGTTTATGTTGGATAGTACTAAACCTACATGTAGTACCTATATATACTAACTTTGGTTATTGAGAACTATCCAAATTATAATCAGACATTTTGATTAAGGACAAGTTTAGAAAAATGTAAAAATGACACAATATATTTATATGCTATAAACATGCTTTTATGCTTATAGTCAGGATCATTTAATTAACATTTTATTTATGCTTTTAGAAAGTTATTTTGAGCTCACATAAATATTTTTGTACTGTTCATGAATGAGTAAAATATAGTGTTACTAGACAATGTTTATTTTGCTAGCGCCGGCATGTACAATTTCCAGATAGTAAGTTATATACATGTATATTAGAATGCATACAGTAAATTAGAATGACTATTTATTAGTAGCAAAATAATGTTTTAATAAACCTGTAAATGAAACAGCATGTATTTTTGTGTATACCTGGTTAAAATAGTTTAAATATTGAACTATGTTTTATCTACAAATACATTTGAGTTATATATACTGTGGCAACTTTTACAATTATATTGAATATTTTTGAAAGGTTTTTAAAGAAAGTAGAAATAAAATCTAAATGTTATATATGATATAAACTGCTTAAATTATAACAGAACATTTGTTGTATTTGGTTACCATAGTAACTGATCACATGACTCAGAATGTTAGTGAAGATAATAACTTGTATATATAACCAGTATAGAGTCTGACCAGCCTATACATCTGTTTATCATGACCAGACTCTTGTACTGTTTGTTCCTCAAATTTAGTATCATACTTTAATGCTTTAAACTGTTCCAAATTCAAAGCATGACAAAAGACATCACAGAAATTTTATAGATGTTACATAATAGCCAGTTTGCCAACTGTTGTAAATAGCTTTACCTCTATATTGTTTATGTTTATACTGAATTCCAAACTGTCATTTGTGTGCCATAGATTACTAACATTTTATGCCTCAACTTGGACCTGTCCGTCTGTACTGTTGTCTGTTGCATGACAAAACTAGACTGTGGAGCGTCTGTGTCCTATGGACACATTTATAGCTTTAAAACAATACCTCCAGCAGTTGTATAAAATCTGACAGGAATGGTGGTTTGCACATTTTGCTCTGTTCATTGCAGAGTTGTTGCCCTTTTGTAAGAGATATGAAGAACATTTGAATATAAGTGATTAGTATATTTGTTATATGCCCATAATGACAACACATTCATAGTGAGTTAGGTTTAAAAAGTCAAAGAAGTGGTAATATGGAACTTTGAATAATTATTTAAATTGACAGTATTTACTTAGTGTATTGCATGGTCTACAATGGACACATATTCAATGAATATTTCAAATATCATTTAAAATGTAAGAAATGTAACAGTATCATTTAAGTATTCTTATAAAAATATGTCTTGGAAAAAAAAATTGATTGAGGTCTTAGTGATTTAGTATGGATAGTTATTATGATGAATAATATTTCTTTTTTCTAGAACACTTTATTATCTGTTATATAAATATATGAAATATCAGATCAAGTGTCTCACACTTCAACACTAGCTAAAATCATGCAATGGTTTATAAATTTGTTCATGGTTTGTTATAATATATAATACTTAATACTATTACAGACCTTCAATTTTTCAACAATTCACTTTAACTTCCTTTTAATGACCCCTATTTAGTGTTATATTCTTAAGAGTACTTTGTTCTATTAACTTTAATTGGTATATATTCTATATAATGCGTCACTCAGATACATGTCTGTTAGCTGTTTAGTTTTTAGTATTTTGTTATCGAGACCCCTTAAAGTTAATTATAAATATTTCCTAATTGAAAGGGGCATAATCCATTCATTACAGATATAGCTGTGTACATGATAGTGTAGCTTTACAGTATCTAGTCAAAATAAGACCAGGTTCCTGAAACAGCCTTTAAAAAACATTGTTATCTTCTCTTTTCTGTTAAAGGAACATTGTTATCTTTTTTTCTTTAACAGAGAAGAAAAGAACATTGTTATCTTTTTCTACTGTGTTAAAGGAACATTGTTATCTCTTTCTTCCCTGTTAAAGGAACATTGTTATCTTTTTCTTCCCTGTTAAAGGAACATTGTTATCTTTTTCTTCCCTGTTAAAGGAACATTGTTATCTTTTTCTTCCCTGTTAAAGGAACATTGTTATCTTTTTCTTCCCTGTTAAAGGAACATTGTTATCTTTTTCTTTGACTTAGTATATGGGGATGGTTGGAGATGGGTTTAAATTGAAATAAGGCAATTTTGCTGAATGGCTTTGAGATAGTCATTTAAAGAAAATATGAAAAATATGTCCCTGGTTCCTGGCAATATTTAATATGGTGTTATATTATTATGGTTCTATATTTTTCTCTGTTTTGTTGTTAGATTGTATGCTTGCTGTTAAGTGATACTGTTGTAGAGAAGTGTATTGAAATGAAAGCATAATGAAAAACAATATTTGACACACATACATTTATATAGATTTTAAGAAAAAGAATATGTGTTACTAGTTAATTTGTTCCTCTGAAATAGTCAGACAAGAAACATGGCAATGCTATGAGTAAAAGGAATTATAAGTGTGGTGCTGTTCTCTCAGCTTTTTTTTTTTTTTTTTTTTTTTTTTTATTGGTTGAAAGTTATTTTTTTAAATCAATGCTTATTTGAATTACTCAAAATTACTGTTTGGTCCTAATTGTTGTTGTGTAAAAATGCAAATCAAACCCGTCAGTAAAAAAAAAGTCACTTCAGATTTATTTGAATTTTAAAATATGACATTGACGGTCAAGGTGATTTAAGATTCAAGAACATACTTCATGTTGTATGATGATGCTGTGCCCAAATGTTAATCATATCCGTGCATTTATGATTTCTTCCTGAATTTATTATGGTTCTTCCTGACTTTATTCTAGATCTTTTTGAATTCATACTGGTTCTTAATTGATTCTGGATCTTCCTGAATTTATTATGGTTCTTCCTGAATTTATTCTGGATCTTTTTGAATTCATACTGGTTCTTAATTGATTCTGAATCTTCCTGAATTTATTATGGTTTTTCCTGAATTAATTCTGGTTCTTTTTAATTTTACTTTAGTTCTTCCTGAATTTAATAAGACACTCAGTAAATTAACTCTTACTATTGCTGTATTTAGTTTGGTTCCTCTTCCAATTATTCTTGTTATTAATAGATTTTTTTATAGTTCTTCGTTCAATCAATGTAACATTTTATTGATTAGTTCAGATTTATAGTTCTTCGTTTAATCAATGTAACATTTTATTGATTAGTTCAGATTCACTCTATTTGTTACTTTAGTTAAGCCTTGATTGTCTAATTCTTCATGAATATAACTTTGCTTCTCTTTTAATTTCCTGGTCCTTTTTAAAATATAGTTTGTTCTGGACTGACTGCCCCTTCCAGGGTAAAATTTCATTTGACAATGTAAATACATGTACATATGTTAATGACAAGTGTTCTAGCTGACAAGAAACAAGCGTTCTGTAAAAGCCTACATAAGTTACGATGTTGTTTTTTAGCTCACCTGTCACAAAGTGACAGGGTGAGCTTTTGTGATCGCTTTTCGTCCGGCGTCCGTCCGTCCGTAAACTTTTGCTTTAAATGACATCTCCTCATAAACCACTGAGCCAATTTCATCCAAACTTCACAGGAATGTTCCTTTGGTGGTCACCTTTAAAAATTGTTCAAAGAATTTAATTCCATGCAGAACTCTGGTTGCCATGGCAACCAAAAGAAAAAACTTAAAATATCTTCTTTTAAAAAACCATAAGAGCTAGAGCTTAGATATTTGGCATGAAACATCTTCTAGTGAGTGTCTACCAAGTTTGTTCAAATAAAAGCCCTGGGGTCAAAATTGGCCCCGCCGGGGGGGGTCATTGAATTTCCCTATATGGATATAGTAAAAACTAAAAAAATCTTCTTTTAAAGAACCCAAAGAGCTAGAGCTTAGATATTTAGCATGAAACATGTTCTAATGGGTGTCTACCAAGTTTGTTCAAATAAAAGCCCTGGGGTCAAAATTGGCCCCGCCCCTGGGGGTCATTGATTTTCCCTATATGCATATAGTAAAAACTTAAAAAATCTTCTTTTAAAGAACCGTAAGAGCTAGAGCTTAGATATTTGGCATGAAACATCTTCTAGTGAATGTCTACCAAGTTTGTTCAAATAAAAGCCCTGGGTGCAAAATTGGCCCCGCCCCAGGGGGTCATTGATTTTCCCTATATGCATATAGTAAAAACTTAAAAATCTTCTTTTAAAGAACACAAAGAGCTAGAGCTAAGATATTAAGCATGAAACATCTTCTAGTGAGTGTCTACCAAGTTTGTTCAAATTAAAGCCCTGGGGTCAAAATTGGCCCCGCCCCAGGGGGTCATTGATTTTCCCTATATGCGTATAGTAAAAACTTAAAAAGCCTTCTTTTAAAGAACCATAAGAGCTAGAGCTTAGATATTTGGCATGAAACATCTTCTAGTGAATGTCTACCAAGTTTGTTCAAATAAAAGCCCTGGGGTCAAAATTGACCCCGCCCCAGGGGGTCATAGATTTTCCCTATATGCATAGTTATAGTAAAAACTTAAAAAAAATCTTCTTTTAAAGAACCCAAAGAGCTAGAGCTAAGATACTTAGCATGAAACATTTTCTAATGAGTGTCTACCAAGTTTGTTCAAATGAAAGCCCTGGGGTCAAAATTGGCCCCGCCCCAGGGGGGTCATTGATTTTCCCTATATGCATATAGTAAAAAACTTAAAAAATCTTCTTTTAAAGAACTCAAAGAGCTAGAGCTAAGATATTTAGCATGAAACATGTTCTAATGGGTGTCTACCAAGTATGTTCAAATAAAAGCCCTGGGGTCAAAACTGGCCCCGCCCGGGGGGGCGGGGGGTCATTGATTTTCCTTATATGTGTATAGCAAAAACTTAAAAATCTTCTTTGGAAAACCCCAAATAGCTAGAGTTTAGATATTAAGCATGAAACATCTTTAAGTAAATATCTACAAAGTTTGTTAAAATAACTGCCGGGGGGTCAAAACTGGCCCTGCCCCAGGGGTGTCATTGTTTTTAACTATATGTGTATAGTAAAAACTTTAAAAATCTTTTTTTAAAAAAGCCAATGAGCTAGAACTTAGATGTTTAGCATGAAACATCTTCTTATGGGGTGTCTACCAAGTCTGTTCAAATAAACAAATAAAAGCCCTTGGGTAAAAATTGGCCCGGGGGTGGCGGAGCCTATACACAGATGAGCGACCTCAGGGCCATCATGGCCCTCTTGTTATTTTTTTTTTAATGTTTTGTAGGATTGTTGACCTTTCTGTTAAAAAAAAAAAAATGTTAAGAATTTGCATCTGTAGAATTTTCTTGTAATTGGTTGTTTCTTTTTATTTGTTTTACCAAACTATATTGTATTTACTCGATTCATGACTGCAATAATAATATTTTTCTAGTTTTAATATATGTATTTCTCTCGCAGTTGTTTTCTAAATTACACTTTTTATTAATATGCTAATGGGCATTGTAGTCAGTATTCTTTTGTACAATGTAATTAAAATGTTGTTCTTAAACATTTTCATGTCTAAGAAATATTTTATCATATAATTATGTTCTCATGTAAACAACTTATGAATGTTCTTGTTGGTAAAGACTTTTGATGTTTTTACCATTTTTTTTTAATACGTAAATCTTAGGATTTTAAAATGTCTTGCCATTTATAGAGATATTTTGATATTGCAAAATTTTAGACATTTTCTTATTTTTATGATATTTAAATGATATTCAGAAATACATTTGAAGAAGAATCCTTTTGATTTTAATTTTTATATTTCTTAGTTATATGACTGTGAATATGTATTTAGGATTGTGTAATTTTTGAAGGATAAATGTTGACAGTTCATTAAAGTGCTCCAGAGAATTATCTTCAAATCACCATCACAATCTTTATTAATATCAGCATCCAAATAATGTTACTCTTTAAGTAAAACATATGGTCTAACTTTTAGTCAGATTTATCTCTAATACATGCCTTGTTTGAAATTTCTAACTACTAAGTGCTTGCAGTGTTTATTATTAAGACATGCTGATGTCACCACTATGATACAGTCAGATCAGCTTGCATGCCAATACTATATTTTAAATTGCTGCTTGATTTCATTATTAACATACTGAAATCACTAAACCAACCAAAGGACTGGCATAATTTCAAATACTAGTAGTACAAGCCGGTTACAAAAATTCAAGGGAAGTAAGTGTAAATTTTTTAAAGAATGTTGAAATTTAGATAATGAAATGTTAAGTTATATGAAATACTAGTAACAATTGTTGCTTTAAATTATACAAGTTGTTTTTGTGTTATTTGTAGTTGGTTTACTCCCCCAAAGTTTTATACATTGTATGTTAGATAAGATTGAAAATTTCTTAGAAAACCTAAATTTCCTCATATGAAAACATTTAATTTTAACGTTAGAACAAAAACTGTTACTACATAACATATCTATTTACTGGTCAAATAATCAGTGCCTCTGTATCTTCATATTTCAAATTACAGAAGAAAAAAATGTGTTTTTGTTCACAGGCACTAGACACAATTATTTTACCCATATACACTCATAATACTATATATAAAGAATTCTTTATATATAGTATTATGAGCATTTATGGGTAAAATAATTGTGTCTAGTGCCTGTATTTTTGTTATGATGTTTTGTAATGGTTAAGATTTTGTTTGTGGTATAGGTATTGTTAATTTTTGTGATTAAAGATGATAAAAAAACTGTGATTAATGTATTGGTGAAACAATTGTTTTTGATTTTATGGGAAACATTGCCAATGATATTCATAATAAAAGTTTTAATGTTGTAGGTAGTGTTTCAGTTATATTTTGATCCCCCGAGGGGAAATTACTGGCGCAGTATACTGGGCAGATTGTTAGGTACTTGACTGACACGCCTTACATTAATGCACTATCCTATCATGATCTTGACCTTTTGGTTGCTGAATTTGCTTTTGTGCACCACATGTTGTCTTAAAGCAGCATGCCTCCAGATTCATGCTAGATTTTATGAAAATTTGAAATAAGTGTTTAAATGTTAAATGTTGTGAAGTGAATAAAATGGTTGTGAAGTGAACAAAGAAAATTGCACTTATTGCAAATAGCACTTATAATCCTCAAAAAATAGCAAAAAGAGGTTCAAATAAGAACAAGAGGGCCATGATGGCCCTGAAATTGCTCACCTGTATATAGGCCCCTGGGGAGGGGCCAATTTTAACCCAAGGGTTTTTATTTGAACAATTTTGGTAGACACCCATTGGAAGATGTTTCATGAGAAATATCTAAGCTCTAGCGCTTTAGAGATTTTAAAAGAAGTTTTTTTAAGTTTTTACTATACACATATAGGGAAAAACAATGATTCCCCCCCCCTGTGGGCAGGGTCAATTTTGACCCAAGAGCTTTTATTTAAACAACCTTTGTACACACTCACTAGAAGATATTTCATGTTTGGTATCTAAACTTTAGCTCTTTGGGTTTTTAAAAGAAGTTTTTTTCAGTTTTTACTATACACATAAGGAAAATAAGGACCCCCAGGGCGGCCAATTTTTACCCAAGGGCCCTTAATTGAACAAACTTGGTAGACACCCATTAGAAAATGTTTCATGATAAATACCTTAGCTCTAGCTCTTTGGGTCTTTTAAAAGAAGATTTTTAAGTTTTTACTATATACATAAAGGGTAAAACAATGACCCCCTTGGGCGGGGCCAATTTTGACCCTAGGGCTTTTATTTGAACAAACTTGGTAGACACCCACTAAAAGATGTTTCATGCTTAATACCTAAGCTCTAGATAGTTGGGTTTTTTTAAAAGAAGAATTTTTAAGTTTTCACTATATACATATAGGGAAAACAATGACCCCCATTTTGACCCAAGGGCTTTTATTTGAAGATTTTTTTAAAAGTTTTTATGATATATAATGAGCCCCTGGGGCGGGCCAATTTTGACCGTAGGGCTTTTATTTGAACTTTGTAGTAACCCACTAGAAGATGTTTAATGCTTAATATCTAAGCTCTAGATATTTTTTTTACAAGAGCTATCACCCAAGTGACGAATGCCCCAGAAAAGGTCTCTTTTAGCATGCAGGTATTATGAAAAGAAAAGAGAATGAAAGTAACTAATTGCTGAATATTGTTCCTTGTACATGTACCTGTAATCTCTAATTTTGATAGCATGAACCTTCAAAATATAAGTGTGACCTTGACCTTTGAAGAAGGGACATGGTTCCTGGACGCGACAAAATGTTGTGATGAGATAAACATTTGTGCCAAATTATTTCAAAATCCCTCAATGCATGACAAAGTTACAGTCTGGACATGATTGTTGTGTAAGTGGGGACGGACAGACGGACATGAGCCTTAGATACGACACATTGTCTTGATGTGTTAGACATTTGTGCCAAGTTATTTTAAAATCCTTCCATGCATGACAAAGTTACAGTCCGGAGATGAATGTGTATCTTCAAACTCTTCTCTCGAGAGAATGAGTACCTTTAAACTATAAGTGTGACCTTGGCCTTGAAGGTAGGGACATGGGTCTTTGTCGCAACATGTCGTCTTGATGTGGTAGACAATTATGCCTAGTTATTTTAAAATCCTTTGATGCATGATAAAGGTACAGCCTGGACTCGAATCTGTGTACCTATAAACTCTAATTGTGATAAAGTGAACTTCAAAATGTTAGTGTGACCTTGACCTTTGAGGTAGAGATGAGATTATTGAATGCAACACATCGTCTTGATGTTGTAGACATTTATGCTAAGTTATTTTAAAATCCTTTCATGCTTGACAAAGTTACAGCCCAGACACGATTATGTGAACCTATTAATTCTATTTGTGATAATGTGAAACTTCAAAATGTCAGTGTGACCTTGACCTTTGAGGTAGAGACTTAATTCTTAGACGAGACACATCCTCTTGATGTGGTAGACATTTGTGCTAAGTATTTTCAGAATCCCTCAATGTATGACAAAGTTATAGTCCGGAAAGGAATG